AAACCCAACACCCCAAACCCTAAACCCTATTCTACTCACTAAGGCCCCTCTCTCTCTCTCTATATATATATATAATATGATATATATATATATATATATATGATATATATGTATATCATACGTACATTGACATACAGGCAGAGAGCGAGTGCGTGTGTGTGTGTGTGTGTCTGTCTGTCTGTGTGTGTGTGTGTGTCTGTGCGGGAGGTGGTACACTATATTGCGGCAAGCGGGTTGCTTCAGGCTTCATGCTTCTTGTGTCGGCTCATGCTACTATAAGGCTTGCGGCTCAGGCTGGTGCATAGTCAAACCTGTGATGTCTGCAGGACTTCCAGTATGCCAGCACGCAACAAACGCTCCGAGAACAGTGGAAAAGGAAACAACAAACAAACAACACGATCTGACAAACAACGACGAAAGCTGACTACTATGACTACTACCGTAAACCACGCAAGCGGAGATGCATGTTATAGAGGTCTCAAGTTTGCCTCGATCCACATGCGCACTGCGCCTGGCTTCAGCGCCTGCGCGGCCGCCATGACGCAGGGCGCTAGCAGGGCGGCGCGGGCCGTCAGGACTCGGCCTCTGCCGCTGTGACGCATTGGGACACACGAAAGTGTCTGTCTTGAGGCATCCTTTGGCCCCGCCTGTCGAGAAGGCGAAGGCCGCGATTGCCAGACCTGGGTGCGGATCGTGTCACAGAAGATTCAACAGCCGCTGCCTTTCCCAACCGGAGAATCCGAAGTATGCCTACTCTCCCGCGCTGGACCTGATCCATGCTGAAGAGCTCTGGTACTCTTCTGGCTGATGAAACTACGGACGGGGAGCAGAAGAAGCAGAAGCTCTGCAAGTCGTTAACCTGCACGGGAAGGGGAAAAGGCGATGATCGAAAGGTCGAGCACTGGGGTGGTATGTAAGGGGTTGCGAGCGGACCCGAAGTCGCCAGAATCCTTCGAGCCGATCAGCTCAAGATGCTCAACCAAGACCGAGAATCAAGCGTCGGATCCCTCTACTCCGAGACGTCCCTCTTGCACCATACATGATGCGACACATCGCCTGGTGCTGCCGAAAGGGTCGGATGGTGGCGATGGCGAGCGAGGTGCACAAAGTGAAGCCCAAGGTGAACTCCAGGCCATTGTCGCTCCCGACGGCCTCGCGCACAAGAGCCGGAGGCGGGAGGGGAACCATCTTCGAGGCTTTCTTTCGGAAAGTCTTCGGACCACTTCAGCAGAGGCGCGGCCACCAAAGCAACGGCCACAATCCTCATGGCCTCAATGGGTCTGGCTCCGGGGCAGGTCCGAAAGGGTCATGAACGCCCTAGGTTTCCTGAATCTCGTGGGACAGCCGACAGCCGGCCCACGCTTCAAAAACTCCTGCGTGACCCTCTACAATGCCTGACCTTAAAGCAAGATCAGCCTCAATCATGGCGAAGCTTGGCGCAAGCGGAAAAAAGCTATCCGCCGCCACGAATCAAGACTATCGACGTGCAGTTGACATGGAGGAACGCTTGCGTTCAAGCATGGGCTCCCTGTATACATATATGCGACAGTGTTGGGGAGCTTCTGAAGGTTTGTACGCATCTTGAGTAATGAAAAGTGACAAAGGGGAAAGGATTCTTCGGATTGGTTCAGCCGTAAAGACATTGAACCGAGCGGCAATCTCGAACCACACGTTTTGGCAAGCTGCCTCGGCAGTCCAAGCACTCCATCTCTCGCTCTCCACTCCCGGCCCCAGGCTGCGTGGGGCAATCTACATACGTCAAGGCTTGCCTTCGTCAAGGCGGGCTGTTGCTCTGAAACCACTACAGTTTAATTTCTATTTGATCTCAGGCACATATTTGACGAAGAGCTCCTTTGCACCGGCCACGATTCCTCAGACACAGACGCTGGTTGCAAGCACTGCCGCAAAGAACTTCTGCATGCCTCTATACGCACATATGTATCTATACATACATGAATGTATGAATGAATGTATGTATGTATGTATGTATGTATGTATGTACAAAGTTTAGAGTTTAGATGTACGCAGTTGCACTTCTACAATATACAAGGTGGCACAAGGAACCATGAGGACCTGCCAAGCATCTGTCGGACGAAGCTGCCTTTTCAAGTACGTACCGCTCCTTCAGCATCCTCCACGTCACACCAGCGACGGCATGCAGACATGCCGAAAAGCACTCACTAGCAAAGCAGACACCGGATCCGGAGTGTCCCCCTTTCTGGGCAGAGGATGGCCTCTCAAGAGCTTGGCAACGCCGAAGATCTGCATCGCCTTTGTTCCCCAAAGCCGTCCAGACAAAGCTGCTCGCCTAAGCGGCTCAGAAGGCGTACTTGGGACCGCAGTCTCTTGCCGACACAGCTGGAGAACGCAAGATCGAGCCAGCGGCATCCAAGTTCACGTCGTGCTCTTGGCCGCTTTGCTCCTGCACCGGTCGGAGGATCCTCAGCTGGGCAAGAAACTTTCCGACAGTTCAGCATCGTTGTGCCTTCCCTCTCCCTCTTTAAGGAGATCGGTGGCAGCCAAGACTCAGGCGCTCGTCCTGCAGCTGGACCCGGATGGCGCCTCTGAAGTAGATGCAGCTGCGGGCGACCGCCGCGGCCAGGAGGCTCTTCCTCTTCAGCTCCTCCATCGTGTCGTGTCGGGAGGAACTGAAAAAAGAGAAGCACTGGCGGGAATCATCCCGCCCTGTCCTGCTCCGGCTCAGACTTCTCGGACTCCTCGACTGGCCAAACCGAGACCGTGTCGCCTCCCTCTTTCTGGGCGACGAGGCTGACGAAGCGCCGGCTGGGTGCCAAAGACAGGTGCTGCTTGAACATGAGGTACGCCAGGAAGCTCGGGATCAGCAGCCCGTAGCACACGACGCAGGACGCAGCGATGCTATCTGCCTCAGAGCAGTACAGCTCTCTGTCTCCGCAACAACTATCCGCACACAAACTTGGCATACTGCAACGGCGCACGTAAGAGGCCGTGCGTTTAGACACATTGCACAGAGCAGGCATGAAGCCTCGCATGTGATTAGCTGAGAGAGTTTGAAAGCACCGAAGGGTTTCTAAAACACTGTATGCTTTGTGTTCTCGCCGAGGGATGTTTTAACTGTTCAACATGGTCGAGGAAAAGTATGGCAGGGCCACGAAGCTCGAGGGTGTGAGCTTTCAGGGCAGTCAGCTTTTCGGGTCTCTTTTGTGGCGGCCATGAAACTCGAGAGTGTGCATTCGATTTACTGTATGGGCTGCCCTGACTTTCGAGTACACTTGGAAGATGCTTGAACTACCTTCTCCGCACAAAAGGCTCCTTTTCTTAACCTCATGAATCAAACTTCTTGAACGTCTCACCCTTTCGAGTCCTAGCCCAAACCCTGAAGCCCGCATCTATCCCGAAGCCTGGTCTTAAATCCTAAAAGCATCGTCACGAACTGTAACTTAAACTCCGGAGATAGAACGGACTAGACCCTGGACGTTATCATGGTTGGACATGGATGCTCTGTTCAGAACGATTTGGATCCTGGACGCTGTCATGGCTGGGCCAGAGATGTTCGGTTCTCAGAACGGCTTAAACCCTGGGCGTCATCACGGTTGGGCCATGGGGCTCTGTGACGACTGCTAGTGACAGGTGCCGTCTCCAGCAATTTGCCAATGTTCTCATGACAGCAGCTGCTGCTGCGGTAGTAGCACTTATACTGTATTTACAGTTACAATCAGTTACATGTATTATGCATTTTCAAGTCTGTCTGCACGCTTGCGCTTTGTCTGACAATCTCGTTTGACTGAATGCTGTGATCTTGCTACCTGCAGCCGAGCGACAAGCGGGGCCGCTTCCTGGCACTTGGTGTCCGGTAGTGCCGTCCGGAATGCGTACGTGTCGGGCAGACGCTCTTTTCCTGCTCTTCTGGTCAGAATCGAATATGAGCGACACTAAGCACAGAGCATGCAGCGACGGTCCCCGCCTCCGTCGGTGTGCTGGCATCGCATGAGCGCTGCACTGCTCGAGGCGCCCCCGATGTAGAGCAATGTCAGCAGCTTCAGCACCAAGCTGACGCCTGCAACGCCACTCGCGAGCATCTCGCGGGACTGTGTAGGCAACTCCGTGAACTCAGGCCGCTGCCGCTACCATGCGAGGCCAGCTCCGGGAGAATGCAGAGCACCAGCAGCGCCAGGGGCACACAGGGCCCGACCAAAGCCGTGACATCGTTCGCTGTCCTATAAATATAGTGCGACAACACTCGCGGCACTGAATTCCGAGATGCTGCGGCTCAGACACGGTCCTTCCGAACCAGCACTCGAGGCTCGTCGCATCGCGAAGGCCTTGCGCGGTAAGCAGTAGCCACTGGACATACTCCTGAGCTCGGGCAAGATACAAGAAGGCCGTGAAATCACTGCTGAATTCTAGTTTCTCCAGGGCAAGGCAACACCGGCTCTCCTCCGCCCACAAGCCGTCAGCCCGTGTCGGTTCGTCGCCGGTTTTACCCTGGGAGTCCAAGAGGGCCACCAACAGCCCCCAGAGCTGGAAGAGCTGGAGCAGCACGGGGCCCTGTGCGGCCAACAGGGGCTGCATCACCTCGAGAAACTAAGCGGCTCTTTGTTTCTAGCAATCACTAGACAACAGGATACAGCTCGAGATCATGCAAGGGATCTTTAACGTTTCAACATGCCCATCTGCTCCCATTCATGTTTTGGTGGGTGACGCTCCATAGGGTCGGCTCGAGCCGGGCTGTCGCGGGCTCGCTGCGGCTCCTGCAGCGGCAACTGGAGTGGCTCGTGCTCGCTCTCCATCTCTCTCGTTCGCTCCCTCGAGACTACGACTACGCATGAGGTCATCTTGTGCTGCTCGCCACTCTCTCTCTCTCTCCCAAAACATGTCTACCATCTGCTGTGCGTAATCATGCCTGTTCATGCTGCCCACTGCAAGTGAACAAACATTCTGCGGAGCTCCGGCCTTCGCCACAGGAAGATGACGGCACCGAGCACTCCGGCGAAAACCGCGGCCCCCACCACCCAACGCAAGTACAGCCTGGCCATGCGCAGCTCTGGCTGACTGGTGCGAGCATTGCGACACTTAAGCAAGACTGTCGGTTCAGAACAGCTCTCGTCCGAGAGGCCAGCGCGTGCCGGCATCAGAGGCCACTTCGCAGGGAATGCAGACGCCGGCACGGCTGCGGTGGCCCCAAGAGCAGGCCACACAGAGCGGGCCCTCGTGGCCTCGGAGGAGGCTGTGTATGCATGAACTCTCTTTTTTCTGGAGGCTCGGAATTTTAGGTTTCGTCCGGTGGCCGACGGCGCAGCCAAGCGCTGTGACATTCCCAGTGCCGTTCGCTGAAGAAGCGCTGCAGCGCTTCTCCGCCGTAGGCTCCAAGCACCTGACGAAACAGGGATCGAGAAGCGGGTAGAGTCTCACAGGCTTAAGCATGTTTATAAGCCTTGCACCTATAAGCACGCTGAGCTCCTTCTTCCAGGCGAGCGTAGCCGACCTGCGCCGCTGAATTGACACCTACACGCAATCCGCATAAATCGCCACGGAGATCAATAGCAGGCCTGCGGTGGCGCGGAGCTTGCATTGAGGCCGGGCTGCTGGCAGTCCTCTCGAGACTTTCGGCCAAGGGATTCTCGAGGCCTGGGCCTGAGTAAGGGCTCGGTGAAACTCAAGTAAGTGGAGGAGGGAAGGATGACGGAAAGCGAGCTTGACCGCGAGCGGAACGTTGTATGAATTGTCGGGAGGGTGGGGGGTTGGAGTGGGGCGGCGGTCGGGATTTGCATGGGTGGGGGGAGCAGGGACCCAGCATCATGAGCATCCACCTTGCTCTTGCAGTTCTGGCACTAGAGGATTGGTTGGGCAAGCAGAAGAAGCGGCATGATGCGTGTTGAGCCCGCCGACTAGGACTCAGAGCCAACCAAACTGTGGCCTTGGGAAAGACAAAGGCTGCACCCTCAAGACGACATAGCGCGGAAACCGAGAAACTTCAGGCCACAGTCGACCCACGAAGCTAAACCTACATGGGCCCTGCCTTTAGACTCTACTTGGATGCCTGGTTGACCTAGCAAGCCATGTGAGCGTCACCCAGAAGTTGTAGAAAAAGGGCCATGTGATCCTAGAACTCAAAGCCAACCAGACTATGTACAACAAAAGGCTGAAGGCGCATGGAGAAACCCTCGACGGAAAGGGAGCTTCGCCGCGAGCGGGACGTTGTATGATAATTGTTGAGAAACGAAGGTCGGGGGGGCAGGGCCCAGCATCATGAGCACCAGGGACCCAACATCTTGGCATCCTCGGTCACGCAGACTGTCAAAAGTGGCTTCGCATGCGATTACCACTCGCTTTCCGCGTGGTCCTGCTGGTTTGCAGAAACCCTCTCTCTTGAGAGTGTCGTGTCTCTAGCGTCGTTTCTAAAGGTTGCTCGAAAGCACGGGTCCGTATATCGCATGACGTCTTCTTTTTGACATGGCTTTCTGTTAGATAAGTTTTCTGTCTCACATGGTTTTGTCTTATGGATACTTGCCTTTCTCTCACGCCAAGCTTTCGGCTGAACAAGGTTTCTGCAAAGACACTAAGCTAAGTCCACACGCAAAGAATGCAGGCGCACTAGGTAGCCCTGAGGTCCAAATTCAGCTTTCCGCAGTCTTCGCAAATGTCCCCCGAAGCCCGGCTTGAAGTCCGGGCATCATCCTCTGACCTTGCGGGCTTCTCGGTGCCAGCTTTGGGTCTTTGAGGGTTCGGGGACAGGGTGCTTGGCCTGATGCATTCAATGCAAACGGTCTCCAATGCGCACTGTTTTCTGACCAAGAATCTGGTAGAGGGCCCTCAGTGCATCGCACTGGCAGTCGTTTCCAGACTCCGATGAGTGCATCCTGCAGCAAAGGGAAAACTTGTCGAGACGAGAGAGAGCCTTTCTCCAAAAAGCTACAAGATAGAGGGTACGCTAAGGTGGGTTCATGTCGGTGTCGCATGTTGCAACCCTTATAGGCAAGAGCTGCCTGCCGACCGCGCAGACGCAGCTGAAGGCCGAAGTGGCTCCTGCGGGTGCCCTGCTGCTGCTGGGGCACGGCACGCAACTGCCGTTGAAGTGCTCATTGTAGGTGTTTGGGTTGCACGGGTGGCAAGTGGTGCCGTTCCCTTGGAAGCCGGCGCTGCAGGCGCACAGGCCTTGCGGCCAGAACGAGGACGGAGACACCCGCAGGGACGTGGAGGTGATGCCGTAGCATTCGAAACCCCTCGACCGATCGCTTTGGGTCAGCTGCTTGGTTCTGTGCAGAACTCCGTCATGAAACAGTGTGGCGACATCGTCCGAGTTGGAGATCTTGGTGGCCGTGAGGTCCACCTGCACGTTGCTGTCCAGAGCTTGCCGCAATGCTGTCACGTTCAGATACGTCTCCGAATTATTTGCCAAAGAAACGTAGACGTTGGCGGGGATGCCCTCGATGCGGTGGATCCTGTTGTCCGCCAACTCCAAGCCTTGCAAGGAGCTCCACAAGGGTAGCCCACAACATGAATTGTAGCGCTCGCCGTCCACGTTAACGCCACACAAGCAGCTCTTCAGTAGATGCCCGGAGAGGTTCGCCCCACTGGCGCGGATCGAGGCCAAGTGCCCTGCGAAGGACAGGGGCTCCAAGAGGTTCTGCACTTCGCCATCCAGCGGACACAGCGACACCTCAGATTCAAGAAACGTCGGGAGGGGACCTCTAAAAGACACCTTCAGCTCGGAGCTTTACTTGAAGCGCAACAATGCGGCGTCTAAGTTCACCAGGGCCGGAAGCAGCTGCCGGGTCGTGTTGGTGACGAATGTCGCTCGGAGGTCTTTCAGGTCATTTCCGACGGGCAGGAAGTTCACTTGGCTGCCCTCGGCTTCGTCGGGACAAGCTGCAGTGGGAGAAACGGGTGCACCGGCCTTGCTCTGAGGGCCGGTCCTTGAGTTTGAGCGTGTGGAGCTGCAACAGTTGGCCTCGCCAGGCGGGCGTCACGCGCCCAGACACGCGCGTGGCGCTCAGATCGGCCTCGCATGAGACAAAATTGCGACTGGGGCCGGGATTAGCTGACAGTGCTACATAGGGGCCTCCATTAGATTTGTCAAGTGAATGAGCTCGCCAACATCGCCCTCCACAACGGTGTCCATGAGCCGGAGTTGCTCCAACTTCGTTAGCTTGGAGAGTGGCTGCAGGTCACCAGCCACCTTTGTACCATCCAGCCACAACTTCTGCAGCTCGGTCATCTCCGCCAAGGCCTGCAGGCCTCCATTGACTTCGGTGTTTTGGAGCAAGAGCTGCTTCAACTTCGTCAGCTTGGAGAGTGGCTGCAAGTCACCGGTCACCTTTGTACCATCCAGCCACAACTTCCGCAGCTCGGTCATCTCCGCCAAGGCCTGCAGGCCTCCATTGACTTCGGTGTTTTTGAGCCGGAGGCGCTTCAACTTCGTCAGCTTGGAGAGTGGCTGCAAGTCACCGGTCACCTTTGTACCATCCAGCCACAACTTCTGCAGCTCGGTCAGCTCCGCCAAGGCCTGCAGGCCTCCATTGACTTCGGTGTTTTTGAGCCGGAGGCGCTCCAACTTCGTCAGCTTGGAGAGCGGTTGTAGGTCACCGGCCACCTTTGTACCATGCAGCCCCAACTTCTGCAGCTCGGTCATCTTCGCCAAGGCCTGCAGGCCTCCATTGACTTCGGTGTTTTGGAGCAAGAGCTCCTTCAACTTCGTCAGCTTGGAGAGTGGCTGCAAGTCACCGGTCACCTTTGTACCATCCAGCCACAACTTCTGCAGCTCGGTCATCTCCGCCAAGGCCTGCAGGCCTCCATTGACTTCGGTGTTTTTGAGCGAGAGCTGCTTCAACTTCGTCAGCTTGGAGAGTGGCTGCAGGTCACCGGCCACCTTTGTACCGGGCAGCCACAACTGCTGCAGCTCGGTCATGTTGCCCAAGGCCTGCAAGCTTCCAGTGACACCGGTGTCTGAGAGATACAGAAACTGCAGGCTGGTGAGATTGGTGAGAGCGTCCAATCTGCCGCTGATGGGCCTCCCAGTTAGATCCAGCTTCATCACACAACCGTCCGATAGTAAGTGGACCCCTCGCCACGTATGCGGCTGCCCCTTGAGCTGTTCAGCCGGTACTCCGAGCGACAGTAAGATGCTGTGGAGCGCCTCCGTGGACGGACCTTGCCGGGGGCAATCGTGCAAAGAACATGGAGGGAGCAACGCGCGGCCAAGCACAAAGCCCTTGAATTTTCAGCCGAGCATCAATCTCTGGATGCTTTACGTCTTCGGCCCGCTCGCTGCTCATGGCTGTCCTGCCCCGGGCTTCTTCACACGCACCCTACGTTGCACGGGTTCACACGGCTCTTGCTGCATACGTAACTCTAGAACACTCTGAGTCCGAAGGGGAGATGCAGTAAAAGGACCTGAAAAGACTCTGAGTCCTAAACCCCAAACCCTAAACCCAACACACTCTGAGTCCGAAAAGGGGAGACGCCAGGCCTCCGCCCCGAGCGCTAGCGATCGGACATCGCCATCATTCCGGAGGGCCTCGGCTCGAGGCCCCAACTGAGCTCTTCAGGAACTTCATAGCTACAATGGTATACAGGGATCCAGATTAAATCTGCGTGTGTCGACAGAAAACGGAGTCCTCCGTCTATGCTTTCAGCCTCAGGTCTAAGAGACGAGACGCTTTGCTGGAGTTCAGGAGCGCAGCCAGCAGCGTGGCAAGCCACGGGGCAAGCAGCCGCATGGACCAGCCGGATTTTTGCAACTTCACCCCACAGTACTTTCTTACCCACCAGGTACATCCCTACACACCGATGCATGACATGTGTTAGGGGCCCGTGTAGGACCCCAAACTGGTCGCGTGAAGTTTCCCCGGGCCGATCCGTCCTTCCTGGAAGCTCCAACTTTGGGAACCTCCTCGAGGCCACAGCGCCGTTTCAACCACGCAAACACCAAAAAACAAGCCAACTCTGGCTTTACCAGCGACTTCAACCTTGACAAAGCTTGTGCCTCGCTTTTTGCGTGATGCAGCGTCACCGCTTTTCACTCATCTTCAGCCCGTCAGGTTCTTCGTCTCCTGCGGCTTCCATCAGTTGCGGGGCTTGGCAAAGTCGAGCAGCAGGGGCAAGCTCCAGACAGTCCCGTGCAACTTGTTTTGGCATGGTGCGGATTTCGCCTCTGAGTTGTCATTGTGGTGTGGTCTCGCTCATGTGGTTTTGCCACCAAAACGAGCATGAGGCTTGCTAGGTTCAAGGGCCTGATAACCCTCACAGGGACTCCTAATGCTAGAACCCGAAAGACCTTATTCCGTAGAGCCCTGCAACCCCGAAGCCCGATGAAACCCGCTAAACACCTCAATGTTAGACCTTTGTGTGTAAGCCTGAAGAAGGACCCCCCATAAACACTAAATCCTAAACGCCTAAAGCCCTTCAAAGCTCTAAGGCAAGTCCGAGGCAGAGGATCGAGGTCCCCACTAGTGAAGACCGCGTTGGGGCGGCGCCTCCCCGCTCCTTGGGTCGCGAGGTCGGGCTATTGAAACCCACCAACCCTAAGTAGATAGAGATATAGGTATAAATTCTACCAGCCTCGACCCCAAACAGCAACAAGTGGGAGACAAATGGGAGACAAGTGGGAGACAAATGGGAGACAAGTGGGAGACAAATGAGTCGCGGTTTTTAGAGTAGTGCCGTGAGAAATCCAAATGAGCGTTACAGAATCCTTTTCTANNTCAAGAACCCCTCAGCTAAAGCTGTTTGGGGAATAACACATAGATATATATATATATATATACATACACATATCTGTATATGTAGTAAGTATGTATATTCTACGTACTCCTATGTGGGTTTAGAATTCAACAGGGTCCTTCTAACGACCTTATACGGGTTCGATCAGCATATCCCCTCTACTTTGCCGGCACTCCTCAATTTAAAGAATCGCCGGGACCCCATCAGGAAACTCCAATAATCGTAAAACCAAAGTGAACCAAAAGTGCTGCAAACCCACTTCGCAGTTGTCGTCAGAGCATGCAATGCCGCGAAGGCTGTCAAAACACACGCTGAAAGCGATACTTCCCGACTGCCGCTCACTCAGTCGCAAGCTCAATCGATGACTGCGTCTCGTATTCCGTTTTATTGTCTGTCTGTCCCTCTCTTGGGCTATCTCTTTGCGAAGACGAACAGCCTGTGAAGAAGGCGGAATAAGGTACCAGCTATGGGGTTACAAATGTTGGCAAGGCTTGTATGGGTTGAGAGCATACAACAAGGATTCCCTCAAATCCATGACCAGATGTCTCAGAACCGGCACCAGGGGCTCAACGAAAAGTAGTTCAGAGCATGAAGAGCCGAGTGTCTGGAGCCTGAAGAATCGGTCATAAGAACCCTTCAATTTGCTACGTTCAAGCTTCCCGTTCAATGGGCCGTCCTAGTCCTAGTGGCAGGCAGCTTACCGCTGCAGAGCTTTGGCTCTTCCCTAGCTACGGCCAGTACAGGGGCCTTTGTAGCCAAAAAAGGGTTTCAGAGCGCATTCAACTTTAAGGTTTAGGGAAGTTTAGGGTCGAAGTTATTGGAAAGATTCACCACTGAAATACTTGTATGCAGACCTAACTCTTGGAAGATCAAGCTCTGCCAAGGGCGACATGTCGTTGGGCGAAAGGCCAGCGCATCTCCCCAGCAAGGCCATCAGGGCTCTGTGGGGCACTACTCCCAACAAAACCTCAGGAGACTCAGTAGGCAATGTAACAATGCTACTGTGTAAGCTATACTGCTTGCAGCCATGCGGAGATACGGATTCATTTCAGTGAGATTCTCCGCATGCTTTCATCACTATATAGGGGTTAAGTATAATAGGCTTTTGGGATATATACATTATGCCGTGATAAGAATAAGGAGTCCAAAATAGTGTTGGTAATTATCTAGGCCCTTATCTTAAGTCTGCGCCAGCAATGCATTCATCCGTATTCATTGTGTGATGGCTCTCCAGCAAAAGGTCCGATGCAAGTCGGGATGGCGTGGAGCTCACTCGAATTTCCCGGCTCCCTAGCTCCATGATTGCGTGGCAAACTCTGCAATAAACAAGGCTAGGGTGGCACTTTCTAGCTACCGAAACATTATATGAGCAACCTCGTCACTTCAACACTCTTTTTCCTGGCCGTGGGCTGCAGCAGATCCGACAATAGGCGCAGGACCGTTGTGCTCTCCGGCACGGACCCAGTTGGGCTCAAGTTATAACTCAAGTTTGACTTTTCAAGTTCGGGTCCGCGGGCGGTGTCATGATCAATGCGCCATAACGCTCCTGTCAAGATTGGACAAGACAGATTCAGATATTGAAGACTTATCGGCACCCAAGCGCCAGTCCCGTTCCACGGACCCTTCGCAGACTCTGCAATGCCCTCTGTGGCTGGGCTAGCAGAGTCTGCCATTGCAGCAAAAGCCCTGCTCTCCGGCGCGGGCCGCGAATTATCTACGCATCGATTCTTTCTGCAGAATCTGACAGAAAGTAAAGGTCCAGCAACGTAGTGATTTCCGATAAACGTGCTTTTCAATGTTTTGAAGGACTGTTGTCAACGACTGGGCACCCAAGTGCCCGTCCCGTTCATCAGACCCTCCACAGACTCTGCAATGCCCGTGTCTCGGCTGGCAGATTCTGCAACTGCAGCAGACCCTTGCACCCCGGCGCGGGGCGCAAAATCTCTACTCAAAGTTGATGTATCGCATCTGATTCGACGTAAAGGTCCGAGGACAGAGTGGCTGCTTGATTCCCCTAGAGCATTCGGGACACTCAAGATCTCGCAAACCTTCCCTCAACTGATAGTGGGGCACCCAAGCGCCCCTACAGCTCGTGCAGTTCCTCAGACCTTACATGGCCCTCCGTCGACAAAATTCGATTCTCAGCCTTTAGGTAGGCTAATTAACAGCTCTCCAGCCGAGCGTTTCAGAGCAAGCTGATGCTCTGCAACGAGAGCTCCACGGTCTCGCCCTGCTGCAGCGCCGGCCACCGAGCCTCGGCATCCTTCGGCAAGCTTGCAACAAGCGCTTTGGGGTTGTAGGGGTTAGGAAGACCGTATAAAACCATGTAGATATATATATATATATATATATATATACATATATATATATATATATAACATTATATAGTATAGCTGTAAGTATATGTATGGCTTCATGCAGTGGTTTACGCGGGTTTACAATCAAGCAGTTTAAGCGCGCTTGTTGAGGAACCCCTTGCCCCCTTTTTAGTGGGAGTTATGCGCCGAAATCCTGGAAGAGGCGCAGCGCCAGCGCTTCCGGGCCGTCTGCACAAAGAACCCAGCGGTCGAGTGGTATCTGACGGCATGAAGGCTTTTTTCGCATGAAGAGGCTGGTGCAGAGTCTAAATTCAACGTGCAGGTATACTTCCGATGTCATCTCGTAATTTAGTGGTGTCTTCGGGCTTTATGATGCCATCTGTACGGCTGTACGGCTACGGTTTGAAGTATCTGGCGGTTGCAGATTGCTGTGTAAGTACACCACAGTACAAGCACACTGAGAAGGACACACCACCACCACCTCCGACAAACAACGATAAAGCTGCTCAAGTACGATAAAGCCATGCAAGAAACCCTGCATTGTAGAGGTCTCGAGTTCGCTTCGACCCACATTCGCACTCGCCTGGTTTCAGCGCCTGCGCGGCGGCCATCACGCAGGGCGCTAGCAGGGCGGCGCGGGCCGTCAGCACTCGGCCTCTGCCGCCGCGGAAACATTCGGACGCACGACGGACCTTGGCCTCGCCTGTCGAGAAGGCGAAGGCCGCGATTGCCAGACCTGGGCACGGATCATGTCACGGTCGAGGCTCCAACAGCCGCTGCCTCTCCCGACCGAAGTATGTCTACTGTTAGGCGCTTCGGTGCTGATCCTGCTGATTCCGGCTCTCGTACTTTGCTGGCTGATGAAACTGAAGCCGGGGAGCAGAAGAAGCAGAAGCTCTGAAGGTCGTTGACCTACACACGACGGGAAGTGAGATGTTAACTGCTAACCACCATGGGGGGTGATGTATGTGGACCCGCGAGCGGAACCGAAGTC